CCAGGTATATGTGAACGTTGAAGGGGCACATTTGAGACACAGCCATTCCATTTTTTTTCAAACTTTGAAGTTTTATGCTGGGTCCATGTTCCATTTTGGAGTAGTTTGGCTGGTTGGTTTCAAACCACCCCATAAACACATACCACTTCTTAAAGAATACACTCCAGGGTATTTCAAAAGGCATATTTCAAACCTTAGCGTGCAAAAATTTGTTTTCTATTTTGGACCATGTGTAGTGGTAATAAGCGTTGTTCTGCCTTTTTGACACACAAAGTGAGTTTGCACAATATATTCTTCAAACCTTATGTGTGCTACGGGCATGGGCGTACCAAGCAGTTGGCGAAACCGGTCCCCGCGCAGGGGCAGGGGGACGCAAAAATCGGAAGAGCCACTTAGCCACATCACTTTGTTAAAAGTTATCTAGCGCACGTAGGACTGTGCCACTGTCAGCACAGACCTTCTTCTGCTCCTGCACGCTGTTTCCCGCGCAAGTAGAGAGCGGTAATAACTCCGCCTCCAGCTTTCTGCATGTGGTAGTCGGCGAGGAGTGGCTGAGCAGTGAAAAATCCCAGGTAAGTGCAATTACTTAATTAATTACTTACGTTGGCTGGCTGGGGGGCAGGGGGTGCGATGTAGTGGTCGATCTGTCTTGCTGAATATCGATGTTCATGTCAGTCTTTTGGTGCTCGCTCGTTTCAGTATGTACAGATTGTATCTCATCACTGAATTCACTCAGATCTATTTAGTTTGACTATTAACCACTTCAGTGCTGTGTGATTCTATCTGGTCTAATTATTGTGGCTATTAACCACTTCAGTGCTTTGTGATTCTCTGGTCTAATTATTGTGGCTATTAACCACTTCAGTGCTAAGTGATTCTCTGGTCTAATTATTGTAGCTAATAACCACTTCAGCACTGTGTGATTCTCTGGTCTAATTATTGCATATTTTAAAAATGAATAAACTTGGCACATCATGGCAATCAGTTATAGAGGCATACAATTGGCACAACATGGAATTCATCTTTAAAAGCATACAATTGGCACACCAATCAGCTTTAGAGGCATAACATTGGGACACCATGACAATCAGCTTTAGAGGCATAACATTGGCACACCATGGCAATCCGTTTTTGATGCATAGAAATGGCACATCATGGCAATCGGCTTTAGAAGCATAAACTTGCCACATCATGGCAATCAGTTTTAAATGCATAGAACTGGCACATCATGGCAATCAGCTTTAGATGCATACAGTTGGCACACCAGGACAATCCGCTTTAGATGCATAAAATTGGCACACCATGGCAATCAGTTTTAGATGCATAAAATTGTCACATCATGGCAATCCGCTTTAGATGCATACAATTGGCACATCATGGCAATCAGCCTTAGATGCATAGAATTGGCACAACGTGGCAATCAGGTTGCAAAAGTGTAAAAAGATGCCTGGTTGCAAATGTACAACATTGCAAAAACAGTCCGGTCCTTAAGGGGTTAATGGTCCAGAGCGGCCACCTTCCCAATTGCATATAGATAAAGAAGAACATCAGGCTCTTCATAGCAACTTCAGTGACATTTAATGAGAAACACAGCTGTACATTCCCCATATCAAGTCGCTCCTATCAGAGTCAGACCAAACCAGTAATAAATCTCCCATCTCCAGGGAAGCTCACTTACTCCTATATACCTTGCACTCAAAGCAAACTACACTCAGGTCAACAGTTTTCACATTTACTTATGGTGACATTCATCTACTATACAAACCTATTGCTTTTAGAATAGAACCAGAGAACTAGAAACGGGGGGAAAAAAAGCCTAGAGTTCTATGAAATTGCAGGCAGTAGAAGGCATTCACTCGAAATGTAATAAAGACTTTAATATTCCTTGAAAAAAATGCAGTTATTATTATCATCAGCATTTATATAGCAGCAACATGTTTTGTAACGCTTTACAATTTTATAATTTAAAATTATAACAAATTAAACAATACATGGGACAATTACAAAATGTTGCAGAAACAATAGGTTGATAAAGACCCTGCTTGAAAGAGTGAGGTATAAAACCACAATAGAAATGGCAGTGTGGGGGTAGCAACTAAGCAGTAGGGTGGTAGTGGCAGAGAGAGCAGGTTATTGAAATACAAGTTACTATGGGAGGCCATAGGCTATTCTGAAGAGGTGTGTTTTGAGGGACTTCCTAAATGACTGAAGACTAGGGGAGAGTCTGGTAGGGGTAGGCAGGCTGCTCTACTGCTGCAGAGGAGCCACCTGGGAGAAGTCTTAGTTAGCGGTAAGGGTAAGAGCAGAAGACAGAAGAAGGTCATCTGCAGAGCGAGACTAGGAAGGGGTGTAACTATGAATTAGTGAAGAAATGTAACTGGTGGTAGCCAATTTAATGTTTGACAGAGGGGCAAGGTGTGTGAGTAGCCACACGAGAGAAAAATCAGCCTGGCAGGAGCATTAATTAATTACAGACAGTAGCAAGGCAGTACAGTTTCTGGAGAGCCCAATTAGGTCAGAAATACAGGAATCAATGTTAAAAATTACAAGGGTATAAACAAGTTTTTAAGTCAAATCTTGAGTAAGTAATAAACAAATAACAGAAAATATATGTTAAAATATAACACACGTGCTCCCCCACAGGTAAAAGTAAATAAATACAACTTTTTACCAGATGTACGATTGTAAGAAGACCCCTCTGATCTTCTTAATACAAGTATAGAAAATACAATCTACAAAGAAGAATAGACAAGAAAGTATATAGTGCAATAAATTAAAACACCAAATTGTGCGCTGATAAAGTTGCACTCACAAGATGAGAGGACAGTATGAGCATATAACGGTCTTGGAACTTGACGGACAAAAGTAATTACTTTAATTTATTGCACTATATACTTTCTTGTCTATTCTTCTTTGTAGATTGTAATTTCTATACTTGAGTAAGTAATATCAGGATTTAGCAACAGACTGGATATGAGGTGTAATGGTGAGGTTAGAATCAAAGAAAACACCAAGGACAGGCCGATACGCATACCATCAATTTGCAGGGATAGTGACAGAGGAGGATTACTATTAGGAGGAGAAAGATAAGAATCTCAGTTTTAGAGAAACTGAGTTTCAGAAATTGTGAGAACTTGTGCAGTCAGAGATGGAAGAGAGGCAACTGTTGATGCATTCTAGGACACTGGGGGAGAGATCAGGGGAGGATAGATATATCTGAGTGTCATCAGCATACAGGTTTTAGCAACTATCCTGTGTAGTGATTTGGATGGCATAATAGTAGTTGACTATACAACATGTGGAGCGCAGGGGCTTGTGGAAGTCTGATTTGGGTTTGAATATATTTAACATCACACATATAATAACATGATCAAAACAACCAATAAATCGTGTTTGTTATTTTCCTAGATGATGTCTGGTAATCTGATTTGACGTTCACCCATTTTGCCTTTGTCATTTTATATACAAAACCTGAATAAACTTTTAATTAAAAATAAACAAAGTAATGTTTTTAATGTGATTCCCACACTATAACCACTACTGGATGTTGTAGGAGTTATGGTGCCAGGAGTCTGGCAGTGTCACAGGAAAGCTGGTAGACAAGTGTTTTGACTCCTCCAGTCTTTATGGTCTACACAGAGATGCTAAATTGTAAGTTCATGCTTCCCCATTAGCATGCCATCGTATTCCAACTTTGGATATATTCATTGGCTATGGCTGAGAGAGTAAGCTGACACACTCAGCTAGATAATAATGTCTAGAGCTGTTACATGTTAAGGATGCAGATGCGTCACCAGGAGTGTGAGAGAGCACTCTCGCGGCCAATGTAATGTCTTTGTTTCCACTGGAAATCTCGTCCGGCATCTTTTCCCTCTTGCATGGTACATGCAAGAGGCTGTTTGAAGTCCTGGGCAATCTAAATGTCGGGGTAAGTCCTGGGTACTGGAGCAAGTACCATGAGGGCAATCTCAGTGTTGGGGTAAGTCCTGGGTGCTCGGGTGGGTACTGGGACAAGTCTTGTGAGTGCAATCTCAGTGCTAGGGCAAGTCCTGTGAGTGCAATCTCAGTGCTAAGGCAAGTCCTGTGATTTCAGTCTCAGTGCTTCGGTAAGTCCTGGTTGCTGTAGCAAGTCCTGGGAGTGCAATCTGTATACTCGGGTAAGTTACTATGTGCCCACACTATATACAGGGCCAGATTAAGAGCCCAGTGGGCCTGGTGCTGACAATTATGATGGGCCTAATTACAGAATCATATCGACCAAAAACAGTAAAACACTCCCAAGCGTCATGTATCTGATGGATATGGTGCTGGAGAGAAAGAAAACAGCAGCTATAAGAAAAGGCTAATCTCTTTCTAATTTATGTTTTCATCTTTCAAGTAAATCCATAACCCCTAACAGCAGTGTCCAGTCAAGCAGGAAGTCAATGGGCATGGTAAAAGGGTGTGCCACTGACACAAATCATAAATGCATCTAATGATGTGCTCGCTCAACGTTTTCTAAGGACTGTCCCCTAGCACTCGCTGGTCCACTTGCCTCCTTACCTTCTTACTAGCAGGCAGAAGCTCCTGGTATATAGTCTGGGACAGAGAAAAGCTGTATGTAGTGAGTGTAGAAGAAAGGGAACATGCTACAGTGTTAGAGGGACCAAAGTCAGCATTACTTTAAAGGATCACTATAGGGTCAGGAACACAAACATGAATTCATGACCCTATAGTGTTAACACCACCATCTAGTCCCCCTGGGCCCCTCATGCCTCCATAAATATAGCACAATCTTACTGTATTCAAGCCTGAAAGCTGTAACTCTGCATTCTGTTAGACTCAGAAAAACAAGCAGTTTGCTGACATCATTAGAAGTGGTGGCCTAATCCAATCACAGTGCTTCCCCATAGGATTGGCTGAGACTGACAATGAGGCAGATCAGGTGCAGAGCCAACATGATTCAAACACAGCCCTGGCCAATCAGCATCTCCTCATAGAGATGAATTAAATCAATGAATCTCTATGAGGAAAATTCAGTGTCTGCATGCAGAGGGAGGAGACACTGAATGTTTGGATGCATTGTAGGCAGCCATGACCCAGGAAGGATCTCTAACAGCCATCTAAGGAGTGGCCAGTGAAGTTATCACTAGGCTGTAATGTAAAGACTGCATTTTCTCTGAAAAGACAGTGTTTACAGCAAAAAGCCTGACGGTAATGATTCTACTCACCAGAACAAATTCAATAAGCTGTAGTTGTTCTGGTGACTCTAGTGTCCCTTTAACTATATTCATTGTCAGCCAGTCCACACAAGTTTTGTTCCCATACATCCCTCTTAAGTTTCCATACTTAAGTAAGAGTATGTGAAAAGTAGTTAGGGTTGCCACCTTTCTTGGAAAAACATACCGGCCTTACTAATTTGCATAATTAAATATGTATGGGTGACATCACATGATGTAAATCACAAGGAGTGACATAAGAGAAAATGCTGTAAAATCACCAAAAAACTACTTAGTTTGATTCTGCTGTATGGATGGATTCCTCCCAGTGGCCCCATGTCTCCCAGTGCCCCATGTGTCGATTACTCCAGGTCTCAGTGTTCCTATGTATCAGTGTCTCAGTGCCCCATGTCTCCCAGTGTCCCCTACTGTCGTGTCCCCAGGTCTTCCAGTGATCCTATGTATCACAGTGTCTCAATGCCCCATGTCTCCCTGTGTCCCCATGTATGCCAGGGTCCCCATGTCACTAGGAAGACGGGAATACCTGGGGACACGGGGAGACCTAGGGACACGGAGACACCAGTGACACTGGGAGACTAGGGGACTCTGGCTGGGACGCATGGGGACACTGGGAAAATAGGGGACACTTGAAGACATGGGGACACAGACACCAGGGACACAGACACTAGAGACACTGGCTGGGGACATGGGGACATTGAGACATGGGGGCACTGGGAGACATGGGGACAAGGAGACACCAGGGCCACAGACACTAGGGACACTAGCTTGGAGACATGGGGACATTGAGACACTTGAGGCACTGGGAGACATGGAGGCACTAGGAGACATGGGGACAGTGAGACACTGGCAGACTGGGGGCACTGGGAGACTAGGGGGCACTGAGACACCAGGGACGCTGGCTGGGAGACATGGGGACACTGTGTCACCATGTGTCTGTGTCATAATGTCTCCCAATGTCCCTTAGTGTCTCAGTGTCCCCATGTCTCCTTGCAGCCTTTCCCCCCATCCCTTACTTCCCTGAGCTGTAGGCTGTCTCTGCAGGGTGGAAGTTGCTGTCTGGACTCTCTGTAGATGCACCCCTGCAGATCAGTGAGTAGAGATAGGCAGGGAGGGATATGCTGGAACTTCCTATCCCTGCCTGTCTCCACATACAGCGACCCCTACTGGCCAGTGCTGGTATTGCATAGTAATCTCTTGTTTATACTGAGAAAAATACCAGCATTTGTATTGCCAGTATCACTGTAATATTGGCAGCAGCCAGGCAGCCTCAAATACTGGCTGTGCCAATAAAATAAAAGCCAGGTGGAATCCCTAAGAGTAGTGTGTGAAAAAAAAAAATGTAAAAAAAAAAAAAAAATTTTTTTTTTTTTTATAAATCAATGGGCCTATTCCATGGGCCTGGGCCTGGAGCTGCAGCTCCATCAGCCCCTATGTTAATCCGGCCCTGACTATATACAAAGGGTTATGTCTCACACAATGCCCTGATATATACCCATGCACAGGGCAATTCAAATAACCTTGTGTACATACTGCCTATATATTGCCCTGTGCATGGGGTATATATCAGGCCAATGTGTGCGGTATCACCTTGTATTAATACTGGTGATATATATTGCCCTGGGTAGGTGTATATATCAGTCGTATCTATAAATAACAATACACTCTTCAAATGTACTTTTAAAATGCATGGTTACCCTTTTGTGAACAAGAATATAGTGTTATAAGATGGGGCTGGTATAATGACGCAATGCTATGGGCCTGCTTTTATTTCCAGGGCTGGCCTTTATCCCCAGTCCGGCACTAATATGGTAAAAAAAAAAGGAAAATCCAGCGCACTCCCTTATTCACTAAACCGCAACTTCGGTGCAGACAGATTTTTTTTAGTTTAAAAAAAACAAAAAACTAATCTAGGCAAAAAAATAATGGGGGTTTAGTTACATTATAAGCCTGCCACAATGTTAATGTATCCCATCTTTGGCAGGTCCTACCCTAATGTCTGCTTCATAAACTACTTGGGGGGAAAATTCCATCTCGAGTTCTCTGCATTACAAAGCTAAATAGGGCCCTGGGATGTGACAGGGAGGGGTGCAAAACCAAGGAGCTGGCTAGACTCCCAAATAGATCTATATGAGAAACCAGGGGGCTGGCTGGACTCACCTGAACATGCATAAATGGGGTGCTGCTGGGGGCCAATTTATACAATAAAAAAGAAAATCCAGAGCACTCCCTTATCCACTAAACAGCAACTTTGGTGCTGACAGATTTTTTTTTAGTTTTTAAAAACACCTAATCTAGGCAAAAAATAATGGGTGTAACGTGTAAATATCATAGGCGTGCGCAGCCTATTGCATTAGGGTGTGCACCCTAAAGCACAAGCACACGCTGCGTATATATATGTGTGTGTGTGTGTGTATATATATATATATATATATTCACAAACATACACTGCTGTGTGAGGGTGCTGTTAGTGTGATGTGTGTGTGTGCTGTGTAAGGGTGCTGGTAGTGTGCTATGTGGGTGAGGGTGTTTGTGAGGGTGCTGTTAATGTACTGTGTGTGAGGGTGCTGTTTGTGTGTGTGTGTGTGCGCGCGCTTGTGAGGGTGCTGTTAATGTACTGTGTGTGAGGGTGCTGTTTGTGTGTTAGGGTACTGGTAATGTGCTGTGTGTGTGTGTGTGTTTGTTAGGGTCCTGTTTGTGTCTGTGAGGGTACTGTTAGTGTGCTGTGTGTGTGAGGGTGCTGTTTGTGTGCTGTATGTAAGGGTGATGTGTGTGTGTGTGTGTGTGTGTGTGGGTGCTGTATGTGTGTAGGTGCTTTGTATGTCTGTGGGTGCTGTATGTGTGTAGGTGATGTGTATGTCTGTGGGTGCTGTGTATGTCTGTGGGTGCTGTATGTGTGTAGGTACTGTGTAAGTCTGTGTGCTGTGTGTGTGTGTGGGTGCTGTATGTGTGTGGGTGATTGTGGGGGGTGGAGGTGGGGGTACATTACTTAATATCCCACCCTCCCTTCTTACCTTATGTAGGGAGGGGGGATTCTTGCTCCTGCTGCTTTCCATGGTGGTCCAGTGGAGAGTGAACTCTAGCCCCTGTGGGGATAGAGTTCACTCTTGCGAGATCTGAGTGTTGCCGCGGCAACGCTCAGAACTCGCGAGAGGAACCCAGCGGAGCTGCTGGTTGAGCTCCCCGGGTCCTCTCCTGCCTCCCTCCATGCTGCAGTGGGGAGGGAGGCTGAGAGCAGAGCCGGCGCTTGAATAGCGCCGGCTCTGCATGAGCCGACAGGGGAGATCCTGAGATCTCCCCTGCCGGTCTCACTCCCCGGCACACCCCGTGCGCACGCCTATGGTAAATATATATTTATGATTTAAAGCTGATAACAGATTCATTAGAGCAGAGGTTCCCAAACCAGTCTTCGTAGCCCACCAACAGTCCAAGTTTTATGTATTTCCCTGTTTTATTCCAATGGAGATACTAACAAAACCTTGACTGTTGGTGGGTCTTGAGGACTGGTTTGGGAAACGCTGCATTAGAGCAAACCCTATTATTGGGAAAGCATTGTATAAGAAGATTTACGATTTCATGTGCACTAGCTAATGGAGTTCAACTTGTAGTGGTTTCATATAGAGGGGGGCTTTGGGTGACTGGCAGGACTCTGTTCCTAAGAAGCCTCAGGAACTTTTAATTCCTCTTTATTCACTTTTTATGGGACATGGAGGATGAGGAAACAAAATATAATGCTAGATTTATTTCTTTAGCTTCCCTTTACATGGTGGAAAACTTTGATCTAATTTTTTTTTTGTTTTTTCATGATATGGGGGAGGTGAGGGGGCGCCAATAGGGTTCCTCGCCAAGGGCGCTTCAGATCCTAGGTACGCCTCTGGCTACGGCAGTATGATACTTCAACTGTTGCTCAGCTATGTCGTCTGAGTACAGCAGTATGTACCTTTGCCAGGTATATGTGGATGTTGAAGGGGAACATTTGAGACCGAGAAATTCAGTTTTTTTAAAACTTAGAATTTTTATGCTGTGTCAATGTTCCATTTTGGAGTAGTTTGGCTGGTTGGTTTCAAACCACCCCACAAACGCATACCATTTTATTTTAAAGAATACACCCTGGGGTATTTCAAAAGTCATATTTTGAACATTAGCGTGGGATCATTTTTTCTCTAGTTTGTTCCACGTGTAGTGGTAATGAGCATTTTTTTTTCATGTATTTTACTTTTAAAAACTTTTTTTAACTTTTGTTAAACTTTCTTCAAACTTTATTTTTACGCTTTTTTAAAATTTTTATAAACTTTTTTTTTTCTTTTACTGGTAACCCTCAGGGGTTAAAAAAAAATCAGATCACAGTAAAATACCATGATGTATATTTTGATCTCTGTAGTCAGTGATCAATTGGCAGGGAAGGGGTTAATTTTTATTTAAACTGGGTAAAGGAGGGGTGGAATTTTAAATTAACTTTATTTTATTTTTTTGCAGGGAAAAGATCATTAGCACTGTTCTGTCTCCCTGCACTTCACACTGAACGCGGAAGAGCAGGCAGGCAGATCAGTAGATCCTGCTGCCCATGTGCTCGTTCTGACAGGCTGTCAGAGCAATCACAGCTGCAGGAACAGCCCGATCGGGTGCTCCCCGGTCTGCCTCGGATACTGAGGCATACTGGAGGAGCGTTAATCCCACTGGGGTTAACCTTAGTAAATGATGTAAATTTTCCGTCATGCGTCTTTAACGGTGGGACAAGCATGACAGAAAATTTCCGTCTTGCGTCAGGAAGGGGTTAAGTAACTAAAGCTGTTTGATTTTTATTTAGACGTCAAGTATTCATTCACCCTGCAGCAGGGCTGCCATCAGAAATTTTGGGACCCCTGACAAAGCACAAGGTGTGGGCCCGCCCACGAGTCCGCCCACAGGACTCCTACCTAGTCCGCTGTCAATGATGCATGACTGAATGTGGTGTGTATAGTGGAAGTGAATTAGAGTGTGTGTAATGGATGTAGTGTTTGTGTGTATTAGATACTGTTTGTGCAGTGAATGCAGAGTGTGT